TTCCTTTTGTTTTTCAAGATTGGGAAAATTTCCCCAATTCAAAGTAACACCCTTAATTTTGAGGTTAAAAAAAAAAACACAGGTATGCTTAAAGGGCCAACAAGCATGTAATGCTTAAGGGGAGTACATCCTAATGGTAACGCAATATAGCTAAAACCAATTCATCTAATGAATTGTCCCTCTAAAGCGAAACATGTGTGCGTGTACGTCAAAGCACCAACTCTCTTTTCTTCCAATTTAGTAGAAAACAAACGGCTAACCCACCGCCACCGGAACGTGCTCATGAACAATATCTGTTCATGTGTTCAGATTATACGACGCCGATTTTTCCTTCACCATGGCAGTAGTAACATTCACGAAAAAAAACTAAACATAAAATTGCAACAAAAGTTGCGATTAAAAAAAAAAAAATGCGTAACAATGTGTATAGCGTATGCCATACACAAATTCGAGGTTGCCATTAGTAAAAAAAGAAAAAAAGAAACATTATTCAACTAGTCCTATGTTTGCGTTGTAAACTCCTAAAATGTGGCTTTGCTTTTTTTTTTTTTCTGTCCCAATGTAGTACGGCAATATATCTTACTGGGACGAGCGATACACGAAGTAAGACAGGAATAAATGCACCACTTGCATGAACCAATCTCATGAATTCACTCTATTTCGATTAAATCGATTGCCTTTTATCTTTTCCCCGTGTGTCTGTTTCCCTCTAAAGCGAAGAAGAGCAATTTGACTGGCATCAAAAATGGTGTAGTGTAAAGCATATTTTCTCAGAACTTAATGTACGAAATGACGCAAAAATCTTGAATATCGGTTGTGGGACATCAAGTAAGAATAAACGAACATATACACACAACGTGTGCATTGAATTTTGTATGAACCCCGACAGGAAAAAATATCCATGCTATAGGCATTTCCCACGCACATGCACATACCCTCGCTAACTCATACACACATATGCGTTTATTTGCTGATTCCCCAAGGATTCAGCGAAGAAATGCTAGACAATGGCTACACAGATATAACGAACATCGATGCATCCGCCGTATGCATAAATAAGATGAAAGAATTGTACAAGGACAAGCCGAATTTAAAATGTAAAGCAATGTGCCACTGTGGCGCTATAGTGGTGCCCCTTTGCATATAAACGATTTGCTGCATAAAAAGGGAAGCGAATTCGCATACGTATGTAGGTGTACACACACGAAAATAGAGTTATGCATTCCTATACAGGCTTACTGAAACGAAGAAATGGTGCCAAATATATGTCCTGCTCCTCCCTTTGCAACCCCCTGCAGACATACTAATGAATGTGTGCGACATGAAAGGATTTAAAAATGCAGGGTTTGACCTAATCGTGGATAAGGCCTGTCTAGACTCTGTGGTTTGCTCGGAAGATTCCCTGAAAAACGTTGAGGAAATGTTGTCCGAAGTATCTCGCGTGTTGAAGTAATTAAGCATTCTTTACAGCGTTTTGGTTCATAAAGGCAGCTCTTCTGAATGCGCACGATTTTGCGTTTGCTCTTTTCACATGTCGTATTGTCCGAATTCAAACTTTTGTCCCTAAAATTACCCAAAACGGGTAAAAATGAATTTCACTTAGGCCCGAAGGCGTCTTTGTTGTCATATCGCATGCGCAACCGACTTATCGACTAGGGTATTTACAGAAGCCGGACTACAAGTGGAACGTCGCGGTGAAAACAGTTAACAGACCTATGTTAGGGATAGTAGGTAAGTTTGCGCTACTTACACCAGTTCTTAAAGATGGCATGTAGCTAATTTGTTCCTGTTTTTTTTGTTTTTTTCTTGTCCGCATTTCGTGCACTTGCCATTTCTCCCATTTCGTTTACGTGCTTTTTTTCTCAATCACTGCAGCCCCCCCCGTTGATGACAGCTTGCACTACGTTTACATTTGCAAAAAGGGGAGCACAAGCACACAAAAATAGCTCTTCTTTGAGAAGTTTGACCAGGGTTGTTACGCTAACACGTACTCATGTGAATATATATATATATATATGTTTGTATACTTTTTTTTCATGACCCCCTTGTTGCATTGTGTTATATCAGTTCTGTGTAAACAGCACATACTGTCCCTATGTTGGCTTTTTCCTTTTTTTTCCCTTTTATCTCCGCCCATTGTGGGGTTTCACTAATTCGATAGGTTAAAATGATTCACAAGTAGCAAATTTTCATGACGTGTATGTTTTACTTTTCGCCTTTACGAATACGCATATGCACACATATGTATGCACTCCGAAGCGTGCTGGTATTTTTATAGCATGCCGTGGTTGCGCGTAGTTTAATTACGCGTTACAAAAGTTACTTTGTACCAAATGGGTGGAACTGTCCTTTTTTTTTTTTTTTTGACTAACCAAAATTTCTCAACAGTGTTTTCAAAATTGTAAGGAGAAAAGAAAAAAAAAAAAAAATAGCTATTTAATTGTGTGCAAAGGTAAATATGGTTCATAATTTTCTCAGTTTTAGCTGAATGGTCAGGTGATTTTTTCAACTTATTTGTTGTTGCAAGAATTAAGTGTTATAAACATGTATTTCTTTTTTCCTTTTTTTTTCTTTTGTTAAAAGGGTAATTCTACAATGAATTGTGGTGAAACATAGACAGAATTAATTGCACCTTTTTCGTTGTTTCACTTTACTTTTGCCTTTTTACCAAAGTTGAAGCATTTCTATCAACGCGCAGTTGGATTGTCGAAAATGATCGACACACCCATGTGCATAAATTTGCGAATGCGGTAAACTGTTGTGGGAAGGTCAGGAAAAAGAAAGCAATAGAATAAAGTAACACAGAGTAAAAGAAAACAAGAAACACGGCACTCGGTAAACATTTCCAAATGAGAAAGCAAATTGCCTACATTGCGCAAAAACAAAATTTGTTCCTTTTACGCGATTTTGAACTTACACGTAAATGGAAAAATACCACGGAACAGTGGTAAATGTCGCGTACACAAATACGTACACATATACGCATATCCAGGGCAAATTAACCTGGTCATAAATGTTCATTTTACACTGGGCAAAAAAAAAAAAAAAAGAAAAAAACGCACACACACACGGGCATAAAAAAAAAACAGGTAATTTTGTGCTTACACACGTCCAAGTAGTTACACACGCACATGTTACAAATAATTGTACAAAACTGCTTAACTCTCTGCATTCACAATGTTCTACATTACTAAAACCTTTTAACGGTAATTAATGTAGTAATTACATAAATTTTTTTTTTTGAAAACTATGAGTTGCAACTGTTTTAACTTGCTTTTTCACCGTAATTAGGATGATTAGCAAAATTGCGAATAACCTGCACTCACACAGGTACATGTATGTAGAACATGTATATTTGTGCGTAAATGGGCATATTCGCGAACGCATGGGTATGTACATATATACATAAGTGTATACATACCTACATAGCTACTTTGCAACTTCGCCCAACAGGATGGGCCCAACGACAGCGGCAACAATGTTCAGTAAGCTTTCTCCATCAGTGAAGCTAAACTTCCATTTCATACTGCCGTTGCGTTACATATATCTGTTGGCTCAATTTGTTTTCACAATTAAATAATCAAGAAAAAAAAAGAAAGAAAAAAAAAAAACACAGTTACAAATTGTTTGCTAATTGCAGAACGTGCGCTTCTGAAATTCAGGGTTTAGAAAACTAACACTCTGGAATTAGATGAACCATTAAGAAATTTTAATTTTTTTTTTGTTTTTTTTTTTTTTGCTTTTGTTTTTCTCATTTTGTCACCAAATTTATTTGACAAATTTTACCTTTTTAACTGATAATAATGAACTTTCGTTCTTGTTGCTCAAATGTAAGATCCGTTTTGTGCAGAACAATTCGAGAAATTGTTTTCTACACCCATAGTTTGGCAGTGCCTATGTGTGTTTTTTTTTTTTTTTTTTTTCCAACAATTGATACACTTCTTCGATCTGCGCAATTGTTTGATTCGTTTATATTTAGATGACTTGTTTCGTAAGTTTATTTTTAGTTCTCTTTTTTAATATTTATTATATTGCGGATTTATTTGATGTGTTCCTTTTTGCCCCATCTATTTTCATCTGCTTATTCTTTTTTGGTATTGTTTTTCCTCACATCATTCTACAACCACCAAGTGAGTAGCTGCGCAAAATTCAATTTTGTTCTGGAACCTCTCGATGATCATTAAAATTATTTTTTAAGAATATTTTTACTAACAGTTAAAAAAAAAAAGTTACCTTTTTTTGCTTTTCCTAAGTAGTTGCTGTGTACCAAGCATATATATATATAAATATTTATGTCTCAAAGAGCAAAGTTGCAGCTGAAGCAATAAGACAAATATAGTTTGCTGAGTTACTCCCGCATGTTGTGGTGCTGCTAATGGTTAGTTGCAATTTCAGGGGACAGACTCAACACATGAGTAGTGCTTTTCTCAAGTTCTATGCAAAGTAACATGTGCACTTTTATCCCTGTGCTGCGTGTTCATACCACTTCGCGCTCAATTGAGAGTAACGGGGGATTCCCCCAAATTACTAACAACGTATCAACCATGGAGGTTGCAGCATGGTTCATACTAAAATGGGCCATTTGTGCACACATTATTCATTTTTTTTTTTTTTTTTCCCCCTTGCTGTAGACGATTAGCTATGATGCCACGTTGACGAAGTGACCCCGAAGATAGGGACAAGAAATTAATGCGTCGTTGAATGCTACCCCGTGTGTTGTAGTGCTCATCGTACATTTTATTCTTTCACGATTTCACCATTTGACCCAGTATCCATTTCATCATTGTGCACATAACAGCACACGTGGAGGCCTCATCGAGATCTATATACGCCCCCTTACATTGGCGTAAGCTCAGAGTGATATCGTAAGGGCGATTTCAGGTACGTGGGGGGGGTATCCTTCGCATTGGATAAGCTTGCAATCACACGCACACAAACAATATACGAAGAGGACCACACGTACAACCGCACGCTTACGCTCACACCGAGACAAAAGAAATATGGAAGTGGACAAAATCAGAAGGAGCTCCATCAGGAGACACAAACTTTCCAGCGCAGACGACACATACGACAAACCGACAGCGAACAGCTCCATAAACAATGAGACCTGCAGCGACGAGGGCGAAATAGAGTTCGAAGGATGGGTGGAGTTTATAACGAAGAGTGAAAAAGAAGATAATGATAATGACGATACTCTGTGCGAAGAAAAGATTAGCAAGTCCTGTGGAAAAAGAGGAAGCACCATACATATATCGAGTTCTCCTGGTGTGTATACACATACGAGTAAAACAAAAAAGGGAGAAAAATATGTCAACAGTGGACAAACTACCGTTGCCAATACCAACGTCGTTGTTAATAATGAAGAGACATCAGGTTATGCTTATACGAATGCGAACTATATGAACAGGGGACCTGTGGCGACATTAAATGGCGGGGTGTTTTATGCGAATGGCAGTAATCCTACTACATACCCATTAATTATTAACACGCAGAAGACAACGGATAACACAATGAATGTGCTGAACCCCAATTATGTGGATCCATCTCCTCCAGTTGTTTTGAAGAATCAACAAATAATTCCCCAGCTGTATATTAGGCAGCCGCCAACAGTGGTGGTAACAAATGAACCTCGTCCCCCCCTAGTGATAAACCCCCCACCAGCTAACATCGTTTTTAAAAATAAAGCCCCGCAACCTATATATGTAAATAGTACAAGGCCAAATATCATCATTAAAAATGATCCAGCAGTTGTACAGAACCCAATTGATATGGATTCTATGCCTATCCAGCTAGATGTCCCCCTGGAAAATACATCTACAACAATTACAGAGTCGATAAAATATCCCTGTACAGTTAATCTCAAGAATGAACCCATCAGGGATAACGGAAGTTGCTTTTTTAACACAAGTGTAAATACTACCTCCACAGGGTTAGTGCCAACAGGCAATATGATCCAGATAGATAATTCGCCAGTAGGCCCTATTACGCAACAAATTGTTCCAAATGTGTATATGATGAATGAGCATGGGCAGCTTCAGGGAGGCGTACAAACACAACAGGGTGCCATCTATACAGTAACTCCAGGGGGTACCATAATACAAACACAGCAGTCCCCACCAAGCCCTATATACAGTATGTATGAACCGAATGTTTACCAGTGCGTGCAGCCAAGTTACGCGCAGGTCATAGGAGCTCAGCCTGAGCAGTGCAGTGCTGGTGGGACCTTGCTGAACCATCCCGTGCAAATGGCACCAGGGCAACACGTGCACGCGATGTCCGCGCAGAATATGCAGGCAAGCACCCAGCCACAAGTGCACCTAACAGGAGGAGTGCAATATTACCAAGGGTATAGCAATGCCCAACCTGCCATGACGTACGAGAAAGTGTGCTCTCAGCAAGTAGCTCAACCAGCATATGGGAATGCAACACCTCAGTATGTTCACCAGAGCTATATGCAAACGAATCCAATGATGCAGGAACAGATGGTGTCCCAGACTGCAACGAGAAGATCATCCTTTGTTCCTAATAACAACTTAGCGCAAGGGGGACACCGAGTTATAAGGTACAGTCATAATGTAGGCCAACCTGTTAATGTAAATAAAATTCCCTTGCAGCATCAGACATCATCGGCCTCCAGTGAATTTCTACCTTCTTGTGGATCCGTCGGTTGCGGAGCCTCGAATACTAAACCGATGCAGGCACGTAACGTGAGGAGTCACAGTTATGCACATCCCCAAGTACACGGGACAATGCAGGCCCTTCCAAAGAAGGTCCAAATAATGGCTCGCCCTATGCACGATCAGAACCTCCGAGGGCATAATTAAACGAACAAGTGGTGGTGCGCTGGTGCACCCCTGAGGATCTACCTGTGTGCCAGCGTAACTGCATATGCGCATGTGCCGTGCTTATGCGAACTGTTGTGACAGGTACGTTTATCTGTCTCGTCGAATGCCCACCTGTGTTTGATTGCTGCCACGCCGAACCTTCCACTATAACAATTTTTTTTTTTTTTTTTTATTCCTTCTTGTTTGTATCTTGTCCCAGTTTGTCAATTTTTTCATGCCCATGGCGAAGTCTACATTAAGACAATCCTTTCATCCGCCGCATTTTAATGAGAGATCTTTTAAGAAATGACTTAACCCATATATTAGGCATACGCTGCCGTAATGTATGCATCAATATCGGTTGGTAAATGATACCACGTTTACTCAGTCAAGAACAGCATTGCACGTGCGTCATCATGTAGGAAATAACTCCGCGACACCGTTTGGGTGAGGTTATTTTATGCTAGGGATTGGGTGCGGAGATGTGTCACCACAAGGTGCTCGACGTATTCAAATGCTGTGTTAAAATGTGTGCAGCATAATTACAGTCAGTGGTTATGGAGACCTCGACCTAAGAGTCGGACATTACAGGAGTGTAGCTCTATAAGGATTGTGTCTCCGAGACACTATAGATGGATCAGGGAAATAAAGCAAATTTTAGAAAATGTAGGAATGTTCAAAAAAAAAAAAAAGAGGGTAACCTTCGCAGAAAGAAATGGACACAAACGGCGTTCAAATGAGACGTAAAAAATTAAACATAAAAAATAAAACGTAAAAAATAAAACGTAAAAATTAAACCTAAAAATTAAACGTAAAAAGTAAACATAAAAATTAAACGTAAAAAAGGGAACGTAAAAATTAAAACGTAAGGTACAGAAAGAAACAGAGCAGCACACCACGTACGATTCGCCTCTCTAACTATGCAACACTTCTACGAACAGAACGCATAACTAAACACTTGCGCGAGTGTACATGGCTATATAACTGTTCAACACAAATTGTTTAAGGAGAAAAATATGGAACAAGGGCGGTGGAACGGGCAAGAATAGAGAGTAAAAAGAAAAATGTACCTCGCATTTGTAAACGAACATGCATGCGTTAAGAAGTTTTAATGTGTTGTTCTTACAATACAGGAACGAGAAAAATACACACAGGATGGAGGAAGCCGTAGGAAGGTGGAGACTGTGGACGATTTGAGCAATTATGTATTCGGTGCGTACGTGGAATGAGGAACTGTGCAGGTCGTGCAAAACAGGTACCTCGCCTTTTTTTTTTTTCTTCTTCATGTATTTCTCCTGATGACACTACAATTTAAGGCCATTGTGAATAGACCACTGATGAGGCAACAAATGTGGAAAACGTCGTGGAACCCGATAACGCCTACGGAAATTATGCAAAAGGGGAGAAGGGAAGGGTAAAGATGAAGTGCACATATTGACGCGTACTTGGAAATACTGCAGGACTGCATTTGTTCACATGCATTTGTAAAGACAACACAGGAGCTCATGTGTCGTTACCTTTAATGGGGTTAGGCTTCTTCATGGAATACGCAACGGCCCCTAGGCAGTAGAGCGCGGCCAAAAGAAAGAAAAACGTGATTTCCTTGGCCATGAGGCCCATTATATAGTCCTTCAAAAATAAGGCATGCAGGAACCCAGCTATGACATAAGTACAGGCCCGCGTAATCCTATTTCCCGTGCTAAAGCGGCTGAAGAATATGAATAAGCATCCAAACAGGGACGTCAGCCCTTGTAATATAATATAGTATAAAAATTGTATCTTGTTAAAAATCAGTGCTGGTACTGGTAAACAGGATCCACTAATCATTAGAAAAATGCCCATGTGATCAATCTTCTCAATCAAGAAATATAACTCAGGTTTCCATTCAAAATTGTGGAGCAGGAAGGAAGCGAAAAAATTAAAAAACATACATGAGGCTGCAATGGAGGTAAAAATTTTTGCCCTTAATGTTTTCGATATGAGCAGCATGTAGGTAATCCAGATGGGGGAAGTAAGTACTAACAATAAATGGATCTTTCCTTGAAACATTGTTTTTACTTTCCGTTCCATATAATTAATTAACATAAGTTTATTTATTTTTTTTTCATTAAACAGTTCTACTATCTGTTTGTCATTTGGGCATAGAATGCTCGACTGCATGAATTCCTTTATTGTCTCATCAGTTATGGTTGTCGTTCCACTCACATCGAAGATGTCCATATTCTGATACTTCTCCTTCAAATAATTTAGGGCCCTTTTACACGAATTTTCGGTCACGCTGTTGCTTATGGCATCCATTTTGTTTTTTCCTTTTTGTATCAAGCGTGGTTAAGTTTGGACGCGCGGCGGCTATATAACGTATATGTCTCCTCTATTGTATTCCCTCCGCTGACTTTGTGGTTCTGACTTTTTCCGTAACCGTGGCGTTGACCTTCCTGCTGACTCTTTGTACGCCTCTTATATTTACATTTTTTTTTCTTTTTTTTTTCCTGTAGGTTCTTGTATTGGCACTATTTACCGAATACAGAAAACGACTATTATATTTAGTCTTATATCAGTATGTTCTTTTTTTCTTTTTTTTTTTTTTTTTTTTTATATTCAGTCTTGTTGTTTTGTGCATTGAATTTTTGAATTTTGTTTTCGCAACATCAATTGCATCGTTTTTTTTTTTTTTTTTTTCCAATTCTGCGCGGTGCGATTTTGCTGCGCGCTTCACAGGGTTTTCATTACTAATTTAAGGCTTGGCTCGAGGGGA